ACAGGCGAGGCATATTCTAAAACAGGTCTAATCTTAGTGATGTAAGTTGTAAGACCAATGTCCCTGGGGAGATGGGCTGTTCTACAGACCCTAAGATAGTGGATCCGTTTACACGCTTTGCTGACAATACTTGAGACGACAAGATCTTACCGACATTCTCCAAATATGTGGTATGCGCGAAATAAAGTCAGAACGGAAAAATATTTTGAATGAATAGTAATTCTTGTCGTTGTTGGAAATATCTGAATAATAATAATAATAATAATAATAATAATAAACTTTATTCAAGTGTCGTGTAAGTTTAGCATGGTGTTGCTTATTGGGAACACCGTAACATAAGTAACAAAAAACAACTAACATATAGATACTATAAGTAATAGAAATATAGAGTTATGTGTATATGCACAATGCTAAAAAATTGTAGGATTATAGTTTAAGAATGACATAGAAAAAACAGTTGGACATTTCTCGAGCAAAAAACTGTTTCCAGGTCCATTTTATTAATTTGTTTTTTAAAACTGTTCAAGTCACCTTGTGTCCGTACATTTCCGGGAATTTTCGCCATAATATAAGGCCTATCTGACAGAAAGTTTTCCATAGGTTACTGTATTATATCTCGGTATAACAAAGTCTGACGTACGTAAATTATAGTTAGTTCCCATTGTTTGGAATAATTCAGAATGACCCCACTCGGTTCATCAGGGGGATGTCTAAAAAATGTGTGTAATTCCGGATCAGTATAAGACTCTGGTATACTTCCCACCCACTAACCCTCCCTTAACCCAACTACGACATTTTCGCTAAAACCAGTAGTAGATCGAATAACGACGGCTATCACCTTTTCCCGCCAAAATGACGCTTGTTCACTGGCGCGCACTACTTAGTGTTGCAATGGAGAAACTCTCGTCAGAGTAGTTCTCGTAGTCGACCTCGTCTTAAAATCTAAAGATCTCTATGAGTAAACGAATTAGAGCCATTTGAAAATACTGGGGTTTTTTATAACTACAGTCGCTAATAAGACCAATGTCTATCCTATGCCCTTGATATAATACGTTCTGGGCAAGAAAAGAAAAAGAGAAGTTTGGCAAAGTGGGGGCCGAACAGTGCCGTAGCAAAAACCAGGGAAGACCTTGGTCACCATGTTAGAGCTGTCATAGAAAACAGCAGCAGTAGGATGAACGTGTACTGACAACTTCAGCGGTGACAAGTGTGAAAGTGTAAAGTGTGAAGGGTGCAAAGTGTGAAGCGTGCAAAGTGTAAATCCTAGTTTGAACTGTACAAATCGAGCGTTATCGTTTACTGAGTGTTTATAACCAGAACTTATTAAGTATGCGGTTACTGAACCAGGCTCGCCAAATTTTATTTACGATCACATCGGAATATTGGTTTTCAACCAAAACTGTTGAGTATACTAAAATTTTAAAACGTGGCTTGCCATTAAACTGGCTAGACATGACACGCCTCTCCGGGAAGCGTTTTCAGTATTGCTTCTCTAAAAGGGTCTAAAAGGAAGGCCACCTCAAATTACGTCCATAAAGATACTAATAGTATCATTGCATTTCCGAAGTACACGGTTTATATTAAACAATTTTTAATGTTGCCTCAGGTACTTGTCGTAAATTGAATGCTTGTAAATCAATCTCACATCGCCTTCCAGTCCACAGGAAATAGATAACGCAGATGGCTCCTTGTATATAATTATATGAGACTTAATGGAGTCGCGACGTGACATGTCAGAGTCCTGCCTCACGACCAATTCATCATCAGTGACCATGTTATTTCGTAAAAAAAACGTATTAAACTAAGTCAGTTATCTTCGTATTCAAAACCTCGTTAGTACAAGGTCGGTGGTTTATAATTTGCCGCATAAACAGCCCACCCGCCTCGCATGCGTGGTGATCTTTTTTCAGTTTCGCTTTCAATCTCTCTGCCAGAAAAACTCTCAAATTATTATTCAGTTGTCAAAATTAACAGGAAAGTACATCTAATGTCCCTTTCACTTCAAAGGAACATTAATTAAACTCGAGGTTTCACAAAATGACATTCAACGTCAGAAAACTGAATGAATGACTTTAGTTCAAGTGAGCTTTAACTTGTTGCTTGATTTCAAAGATGTTTGGTGGGCAAAACTCGGAAAGCAACGTTTATATAAAAAACAGTTTTAAACCACATCTAACTAAATTATCAGACTTTTAAAGCTTTGATGTGAATAGACGTAATTAGTTTTAACAAAACAGCCTCACTTTTAGAATTTGAGAAGCTTCAGAAGTTAAAAAAAAAAAAGAAAGAAAAGGCTTACAAAACGGAATTCGTGCTCTTCACATTTCTATAGCCTTTCGACCCACTGAGCACGTGTTTCTAACTCTCTATCCTTAGATTCAGTTCAAATCTTACTCCTCTTCTGGTTTTACTACGGCGTGGAGCGCATGTATTGCAAGTTAATCAAAAGTATATCAAGGAAATAAAGATTGTTATACTCGCTGAATGTACTTACTTATTTTAAACAAACCTGTATTAAGCAAGCGGTGAGCAAGTACGTAAACAAGGAAACTATTTTTAGGCCTCGTGCTTGGAGGTTTCACTTGTACTGCCGTTCGAATAACGCGAAGGCCTGGCCGTTTGTAAGGCAAAGGTAGTACCTTCTTCCCCCGAGTACTGGCTGGGCCCGGGGATCGAGTCTGCGACCTCCAGCGCTGCAGATAAGAGCTCTAGCGACTGAGCTAATCCCGCCGCAGCGGAAAACGACACGCGAATACCCCAGCAGAAAAGGACAAAAACTACATTATGAAAATAATTTGGAAGTTTTTTACTAACTTTTGTCTTTCATATTTTAAGTATTGTCTTTAAATCTCATTCAATTTAGCCTGCTTCAAAGTTGTTTTGAAAGGCGCATCAGAATCGTCACAGAATATTCATGTTCACCTGGACTACCAAAATTTTTTTAAATAAAAATTAAAAAAGGGAAAAACAGTGACTTAGAATTTTTTTTAAAGCAGTTTCTTAAACAATCCTTTTGTTTCTATCTTTATTTACTATCCCTCAACCAAAAACAAGGTATAGCTGAGTTATTTTGTGAGCATCTTATTTGTTTAGACTACACATTAAATGGATGCAATTATTAGATAAAATTACCCAACAACTTTACACTGGGTTATTTAAAATTCATACAAGGATCCCAGTTTCCCCTTAGATTAGACTGCTAACATGGTATAGTCCTTGTTGTTTGGGTTGATTCATTTAACTCTTCGTCAATGTTCAAAAATGTCTTCCATTTCTTTTTACTTGATCCTAGCTGTAAAATAAGTTGATTTTCTCCCCGGCTTCTGGTGAAATCCACTGAAATCTTAATTAATAGCCCAAAAAAGCCGAGAAGTAAATATTTAACTGTTTCATTTTAAAGAAGTATTGAAAGGAAGGCTTGAGAACCACGTCAACAAAGAACAAAACTGAATATGTGTCATTGTTGAGTGGGAAAACTATTAATTATTAAGATTATTTATTAAAAGAAGTAATTGTGTAGAAACGTTTATTTTGGCCCCTTGAATAGTTCGAGCCATGGGCTTTGATAAAAAGAAGCAAAGTTCCTTTAAAGTTCTTATGCAACGTGTGTTCTATGAATTTACTGTACGGTGTCAAATTCGTCATTTTCATAGAGTCGATAGTGATTATAATTATTTGTAGTTTGGGAAATGTTCACTCTAGTTTTCCAAAGCAGAGTGTATAATATGGCTTCCGAACATTTTCCAAGCCTACAAAACACTTATCGCCAGTACAATAGAATCAACAATTCATTTCCTAACCAGTTCGTGTTTTCTTCAATTTATGCCCTGCCTTAGGCATTTTAGGAACCAACACACTTAAACAATTCGAAGAGAATTATTACAACACATCTAATAAAAAAAGGCTGACAAATATTTTCCGTCTTAAACACCTTTCTTGATATGTCATTAAATCAGCAACCCCCGTATTGGCTGGCTAATTAATTTTTTGATCCAATAGCAACGAGTGTTTTAATTTTTTCCCACTTAGTTTACCGGTAAAAGCGACTCATCCATTCTGTTTCGTCTCCGAAGGCAATAACCTAATTAGAGCCTTTTTAGAGAAACAGCTTTACAGGTGGATTCATTTCCGTTCTTGCTATCTGAAAAGGGTGTTCAATGAACGGTAATTTCATTGATGAGCTCATAACTAAGAGTCTAGTTTCTGAGGAGCTGAATTTATCATAGACCTCATAATAACGTAAGTATGCAGCTTTATTTACGAAAATTTAATAACAGTAAATTACCCACGGAGATTCAGAGGCTCTGAACGCCATAATTTGCTTAACTTATACATTGGCCCGTAAAGAAAATCGTTAAAACTCAACTTTCATTTGTTCGTTTAAACACACATCATCCGCCACTAATTAATTGAGGTTAAGATAGGTATAAGTGGGATGAGATGATAAATTAGATAATTGAAGTAACTGCTCCATCTTTAACTCAGATTGGGAACCGTTTAATGCCATTTAGAAACTGAATCCTGAAACGGGCTATAACTTGTGCAAGTTACTAAAAAGAAACGCGAGCATCATGCACGTTAAATTGTGAATCTTCCACGACGCCACACGATATAACTAGGAGGCAGGTGATTTACAGTCGGGGGAACAAAGTTTAATCTCTTCACGAAAAACTCTTGATTGTACGTTCATGTCGTTCCTTACACTGTAAAGATTATTGTTCCTATCTTCAAACAAAACGCAGCGCTTTAGAGTGCTTGACGTCCCGAAATGAAGTATTCTGCGTTTAAAGGAAAGAAATTATGTTTTTAACAATATAACAACAAGGTTTGAGTACATCTAGCATGTTTTGGCTGTCACCAAGGGAGTGAGAATGACCTGCTGAGAGTTTGCTCAACCTTAGAAAACTTTCACTCGCTTTTGGGTCCTTAAAACTGGTAACGGAATGAAAGGTGAACAGATGCGCCTGTTTAGTTCCAATTACACTTGAGTTAAGTTACAGATGTCCAGTGAAAAACCTTCTCCAAATCATATCTTGATCTGTTGTATACAACTTGATTCAGCGTGCTTAGACAAGAATCATGTGATTGAGGTGGGGGTTCGCTTCTTCGTTCACAAGGTTGAAAAAAGAGCCAAGTTTGTTGTCTTGGCTTTTTCTGAGTATTAGGGGCTGTCTAGTTTTCCCCCTTTTTCTAGAACCAACATATATTTGAAACATACCTAGTTTCGATTTGTCAAGCAAGATTATAGTATGATCACTATGATGATGATGATGATGATAACTCGTGATGATGTACTATCAGAATTATTCTTCATTAATATTATAACATTATCAATGATCATATGAAAGCCGAATACCATTCAAAATATTTCCAAGTTTAAAACATCCTTTGCTTTCTGTAAAGTTCCCTCCTCCAATTCGCCTGTTTCTCGACAGTTTCAGGATAAGAAGGGATGTTTATTCTAGTATAGATATACTTCATAAGCAGTTGTCATCCGTTGACTGGTATTTTTGTCTGTTCTTGTTAATATGTTTTTGAGGCATTAGTTGGCTCTTTTTCTACTTCGTATAACTTGTGAAACCTTTTCCCACTTCTCCAGCTCTTCGAAAACTTCTTTGCGTGAAGTGTGCACGTCCCCATTTCTGTCGATATCATTACGATCGACGTCAATCCTATCGATACCGGCAAATATCTTCCTAATTTGGTCAACGCCAGCTGGTTATGAAGAAATTGCAGGGGGATTTAAGCCAAACAGAAACGGAGAAACATTTCAAATGAATAATAATTATTTTTATGATTGTGATTATGATGATAATTATCATAATAGTTTTGACTTTGATAATAATCATAATAATGAAGTTGAATGACTGATTGATTGATTGATAGATTAAACGACTGAGTGATTGATTACTGATTGATTGATTGATTTATTGATTGATTGATTGATTGATTGATTGATTGACTGATTGAACGACTGAGTGATTGATTACTGACTGGTTGATTGATTGATTGATTGATTGATTGACTGATTGAAAGACTGAGTGATTGATTACTGACTGGTTGATTGATTGATTGATTGATTGATTGATTGATTGACTGACTGACTGATTGATAGATAAATTAACAAGATACTGACAAATGCATCTATATACATATTCAGGTAAAAATGGGTACAGGCTCAGTCATTCTCCTAACTCTAATGCTTGTAGTAGTGGTAACAACAAGCGAGCCTGAGTCAGTAGAAAGCACAAAAGAAGAATCTTGTATATCATGGAGCTGCGCTAGAAAGCGAGTCCTTCAACTCAGCAAAGAGGAAAGCTCACGAGAAAAGGAAGACCGGTCTTTAGATTCTGATAAGTCCTGCATCAGCTGGAGTTGTAGGCGAGAAATGATGCTTCGAAACAGGTTCCTAGATGCACAAAGGGCGGCAGCCCATGCTGAACCAGCAGTAAAAAAGTCTAGTGAAGTCGACGCAGACGAAACACCGTGCATTTCAGGACCGTGCGGACGCAAAAAACGAGAGGCCCAACGTTTATCCAAACTACAGCCACAAGTTGTTAAAGACCCGGCGTGTCTCACAAAAGACTGTCGAACTGGGAAGCGATCGCTCAAGAAACGTAGCGACAAAGAAAATACCGCTCTTATGGAAAAACTCCGGTTCGTTGCCAGCTCTAAGGAAAAGCTTGACGACCCTGGCTGTATAGCATGGCATTGTAACGCTGGGAAACGACGATAACTTGTGGCAGCAGTTGAATGACAGGTACTTTAAGAACACATCATTATTATTTTTATTATTATTATTAACACGTTATTTTCTGTCATTGTCACACGACTCAAAGGAGACGTAAGACGTCGGACGTAAGCAGACGTAATTTTACCCCGCTAAGTAACGTCAGCGAAGCAGCTCCCGTATCCTCGTTCTGGGCCCCAAGCGGGCTCACCGGAATGCATTTCAAATTTTCCTTCAACCTGATTGGCAAATCGACAATGGCATTTTTGACAGACCAATCATGGCGCGCACTCAAATCCGGGTACACAGCTGGGGCCCAGAACAAGGCAGACAAACTTAACCAGAAGTTTAGTTCCGTCTGTGTCGCAGGCTACCTATTTTGTCGCCTACGGAAGACGGTCTGTTTATGCATACGTCCTCATGCGCACTAGTTTAAACCATGCCCTTGGGGGACATCGACGGTTCCACTTCATCTCACCACCCCATCCCCCTTACCTATGTATTTGGTATGAAAAAGTCATTGAACTGCCCGCCGCTAACAGACAACGATATTTTGCTAGGACCTGTTCACTAACTGTTTAATACTTTTTTATTTATTTCTTTTTTCAGAACCAAGATCAATCTTGATTTCCTGTTGTTATTATGCTTCTCCAGGAATGTTAACTTTTGGTTTTCGGAAATGCAGTTTGAAGAACTAATGTTAAACGACGTGTGATGCACCAAACGATTTCTACAAAATGTTGTTCAAGACACTCGGTTTAATTTCATTCTAAAATGCAGCTAAAATAGGTAAGGACGATAGACCTGAAGGAAATACATTGTATCACAAGGAAAAATAACACTTAGGAAACTGAATGTTAAGAGTTTTAAGTTATTTTACCGCAGAGCACGTAAGGTAAATAAAAAAACAAACTGAGAAACTATGTTATTGTTGTTGTTGCTGCTGCTGTTGTTGTTATTGTAGCTAGTCTCCTACTCTAAACTCAGCCCTTCTCTTGACCATTCCCCTCAGGTAAGGAAAAAGGAAATGCTACTTTAGGCATTTTCCCTTAATATAGGGCACTAAGATTACATTATTTTTATTGATCCATTCTTTTACTGCTTGTTAGATCTATCAAAGCACTTCTTTCAAAGCGATAATAATTTTCTTTGCGAGGGTTTTTTGCGAGGGTCAAATTTCTAGTTTTGGATGAAAGTTTAGGTGCAGATCAAATGTTGCATTCACATGTGCCGAAATATGATTCCTATTTCAGTCGGCTAAAATAATGAAATGCAGTATTTGACTTAATGGTGACACATATTAGGATGCCTATGCGCGGAATTAAAGGATAAATTTTGAAAAAGCTGGCCCAACTTTTTAGTTCTTGACGAAAGTAAACTTAAGTCTTGTTTCGTCTTACAGCTTGGACTTTCTCTTGTAATCTTCTCTTCTAATTTTACTTCAGTTCTCCTTCTCTACAAGGAGCACCTCTTATATTCAAGCAAATAGAAGCGAAATAAATGGATAGGGCAAGGTTTTCTACTCATAATATGTTAGGGAGTTCCAGCTAAAGGTGATGTTACAGGGGACAATTCGCAACGACGATTTTTAGTGCAACACAGGGTTGCAATGTTGGAACAATGTTGTAACTATTCTGAACAATGTCGCAAAAATATTGCGAATCGTCTCGTGTAACATCGCCTTAGGGTGGCGCCCTAGAGTAAATTGACCGATCGTAGCCTGAGCGCTAGTATGTTTTTTTCACTTTAAAATGTTAAGCAATACGCTAATATATGGTGGCAAAGTTTAAAGACATTTCACCGAGGGAAATAGGAAATATTAAGAAAAAATGATCAAAAATGACAAAATTACTGCCCGTCTAAGGATGCGATGTTGCCATGGCAACCGCCTTTATCCAGAAAATGAAACTTGATAAAGGAGCCTTCTTATATTGGTAACCTTAGCGGTGAATCTCGTGAACAAAATCGCAAAGACAAAGTGACTAGATTTCGTTCTGTAACGTATGCTAGATAGCTAGGGTTATTGGTAAATACTCTAGGGAGCCACCTTAAAAACGGAAAGCTTAAGCCGAATCAACATAAAGTGGATAGGAAACCTTGAGTTTCCTAAGTTTGATTAATGAGAGGTAAAAGTGGCCATTACAATGGAAAAGTCGAGTTTGGAGACGAGATGCCCCACTCTCAAAAACCCTTATCAAAAAATGTAACGACACGCGAAAGGAGAAATCAGCCAACTCTCCATCACGTGGTCCTAGATTTATAAAAAGTACAAGAAATATTATGAGAATGTACACAGTTCATATGGAGAAGGGTCCTTTGTTAATATAACCCGCTAAACGACTAATTCGTGACTCTGTACGTGATGCAGGAAGACCACACTTTTGATTTTATTAGTAAAAGCTTATTAGTAAATTAGTTGTTTTTCATGTTCCTTTCTTAGTAGTTACCACTTAGAAAGATCCAAAATCCTAATAGCTTCCTTCAAAAACGAGTAAGTGATTTATGTCGGTTAGTTTTTCAGCACAGTACCGTCGGCAAAAGTACCAATCCCCGCGCACACTTCACGTTTTATGTTTTAAATATTTTATCTTTACTAGTTCCGCAATGATACATTAAGCTAAATCAGGTTAAATAATGGCTTCATTTTCTAAATCGTTATAAGGATTTATCGAACTTTCATTAATTATCATATAATTCTTACCCATGACACATTTAATTCTCGAATTAAATTCGGAACAAGTGAAATATAAATGTGACGTTTGAACCGGGTCTTAAGAAAGGACAGCCTCTTAAAACAAGGATCCCGTAAAAAATGGAAGCAGAAGTGACGGCTAGGATAATCTGTTTTAAGGTTGACCCGATTTTTGTGGGGTTTTTTTCAACCGGGTACGGCTTGTACGGCTTGGTCGTTTTCCTTTAAATATCACAATCAATCAAAAATTCTCAAATACATTTTTTATATACAGTCTAAAGATGAGGAATCTCTTGTCAAAACAGCTTCTTTAATGTCATTCGACTTACACTGTAATGGCAAACATAGCTTCCACTCTTATTTAATGAATATGTCCCAATACTTTAAGCTTCCTGACTTTAACCCTGATTTATTAGATATAGCTATGGTAAAAAGCTATGTAAGTTCAATGAAAGAGGAATATATCTTATATTGGCAAAACACACTTCAACATTCTCAAAAACTTGAATTTTATAGATCTTTTAAAACCGACCATAACTCCTCTAGTTACTTAGACTTAACAAGAGGAACAGCTGGGAGAAGGGCTTTAGTAAAACTACGAATAAGCAATCACAAACTAATGATAGAAATAGGCAGAGACAATCAAACTACGAAGGATAATAGGCATTGCCCTTTTTGTGGATGCAATGTGATAGAAGGCGAAGTTCACTTTCTTTTTCAATGTCCTAGTGATACTCTATGATTAGGAATAAGTTTTACTATAAAGTCAAGACTCTGATTCCAAATATTATCCAGTTACCTATAAACAGTTTGATCAATAAACTGATGAACTCTTCTAATTACTTTATCAATATACAATTTATAAAATACATTTCAGCTTGTTTTGATGTTCGTGACAAATTAATATCAAAGTACTTACGTAATAGGCCACTTGCACTAAGAGGTCACGTAGCCAACGCTTCCTTTAAACAATGAGTTGGAATCTTGCTGATGCCAAAACTTGATAGAGCACATAAAAATTATCTTATACCCGAAATTTGAGAGGAAACGCATTTAAGGGAGAGACTTTATGGCACTTTGATTTTTCAACAAAGTAGAATGATTTGCATTGGCCGCCATGTTGGAGGGCATACTCTTGCCCTCCAACATGGCGGCGAAAGCTACTTTTTGCGTAGATCTTGTTAAATGTTTGATAGTTACGCTCAGATGTGCTGTGCTGTAAACGTTCCCAAATCAACTTTTCAACATTTTCCTTGAAGTTTAAGTGCAACGGTAGAAAGACTGAGGTAATTCATAATTTTAAAAATCACATTTTGGTCACGTGACCAGCTACGAACTTACTCATTTTAAGAAAATGGTGCGGGTTTGAAAAACCAAATTACTATTATTTTATTAAAGATATGACCCACTAATCGTTTTTTGAAGAAAAAATCATATAACTTTCATTTTCATAAAAACGATGTCACATGAACTCTTGTCATTCTGATTCCTAAACATAGCTTTTGCAATACTGTACGTGTTTGTATGGTCATGCAAATAAAGCTCGTGGTTGGTTGTGTTTTGGGGGAAATGATGTTGATTTGGAAAGAAACTAAATTAGGCTACAAGAGGTATAAACCGCATAAACCAATTAGTCTTAAAGGCACCTTGACGTGGTAATGGACTGTCTGATATACTAGGCCGGCACTTCATATTTTAATTTTTAACAACCCAAATCTAATATTTTTAATTTTCCATCCCTTCAAACCCAATTTTCAGTTATATTTACATTAAAAACATTCCAAAAATCATCCAAAAATTCGGCAAAAATTGTTCAACCGGAGGAGTCTTCTTCGTCATTTTTTGATTGAATAAAATCTTGGCTAGGTAATGTATTTCGATTTAGTAGTAAGAAAAAGGGCGAAAATAAACGAAAAACAATGCTTTTAACCGGAGCGCATCAGAGTCATGGTTGAAGCCATGAGGAAAAACAACAGATCATTGATATTTATGACGTAGTACATATTTGATCTTGGATTAATCAAAAACAAAGAATTAAATACTGTACAAAGTTGCGCCCAGTTGTTCAGTTTAAGGACAAGAATAGTTGTTGTTCTTTCTATCTCCCTTTTCAGGCAAAATGGGTAGATTGTCATTTGCTCTCCTAACTTTAATGTTTGTAAAATTAATGGCGGAGGCAGACGTCTTTCAATCAAAAGAAAACAATTATAGAGAAGAATCGCCGTGTCTAGGGAGGAGATGCGGTGGAAAGCGAGCCGTTCAACTTGATCAGGAGGAAAGTAAAAGGATGAACAAGATTCAACCTTCAGACGCCAAGACGAATTGCCTCAGCTGGGATTGTAAAAGAGAAATGTTGTTGCGAAGTAGGTTCCTGAATTCAGACAGGGCAGCCCTTGCGGCTGCGGCCAAAATAAAACCACTTAGCGCAGCTGAAGGAGACGAAGCAGCACAAGAAAGCTACAGCCACAAATGACAGTCGACGGAGAGCCCTGTCTCAGAAATGATTGTCGAACCAGGAAACGATCGATGAAGGAACGATTGAACGCAAGGAATACAGCTCTAAAGGAGAAACCGAAACTCCCGCTCGGGAACTGACGACGCTAACCTATAGTGTAAGTTTATGTTTTATTTGTTTCTTAATGCTTGTTAGTAGTAATTCGTCTTTTTTTTAATTCCTAGATTAATTTTTACCAAAAGCTCATTAGCCCATGTCAATACAATGTTATCAATCTTAAAATTTTTACTTAACCAAGGGCGTCTAAAACCAAACAACCAAACTCAAACATCAGAACTGACCGCCCGGGCGGCTCCTTTTAACAATGAAAGAGCCTTTTTGGCAGGGGTCAGTTAACCTTTACGCCCATAACTTCCGTACAGAATATTTTGGAATAGACTTATCTAATTGAACAGTCCTGATAAAAAGTGAAATTCTCTTTACGACTACTGCTCTGGCAAGCGCCTAGAGCTTCAACATTCAAGGACACTTTAATTTCATCGCAAAAATTCTGGTACTTTCCCGAAGATTGTCAAAAATTGCTGTGTGGACACTCTACAATCAATGCAAAAAAAGAAATCGAGAGGAAATTGATTTTATATCTTTGAGTGTGATCTTAGTACTTTTTGTACTTTTTTACATGAAAGACACTCAGACCGCATTTTGGACCAATTTTCAGGAAACTATCCGAGGATATCACAAAAACAGCTT